AGTTCTCCATACCAAATGCATTCTCCAAGCAACTTTCCTTTGTCCCAAAATACATCTAATCAAAAAGCCAAAGAAAAACAAGAAACAAGGTCGAGGTAGATTTGCAGTTTATATTGAAGGCTCCTCAGTTCTGTAGCCCCCACATCTCCAGAGGTGAGGATGAGGGAGAGATGTGAGTAGACAGCCCATCTCACATCCCCCTCCCCAATGCCACACCAAAGCAGGACACCCAGTGCGCTCCTCAGTCCTTCATTTAGGTGGGCAAGTCCTGCACCCTGGGGCCAAGTGAGGGGCCACAGGCTCGGCCTGGCTGTCCAAGTATACAGACCCCTACTAGTGAGGAGGGGGTGGCCTGGAGTCATCGTCGCTTCTTGCTTCCCCGGGCAGCTTTCTTCCTCTTGAGGATCATCTCATACAGGCGCTCAAGGCCTGGCTGCAGACCCGCCCCGTCCACGGCGCTGCAGCCCTGCACGTGGGTGAGAGTTGCAGCGGCCAGCTCTCGCACTGCCAGCCTCTTCTCCACCTCACCAGCGCTCAGGGCCCCAGGCTGGTCCTGCTTGTTGGCCAGCACCAACACGGGCACACCCTGGTTGTCTGAGGCCCGGCTGATTCGGTGCAGCTCCACCTTAGCCTCCTCCAGCCGCTCAGCCTCGGCAGCATCCACCACAAACACCAGCCCGTCTGTCCGGCGGGTGTAGGAGCGCCACAGGGGTCGCAACTTCTCCTGCCCACCGACATCCCACACTTGGAAAGTGGTGCCACGAGACCCACCCAGGGGCACCCGGATCTTCTCCGTGTTGAAGCCTTTGGTGGGGACGCTCTGGACAAACTCCTTGAACTTGAGTCGGTAAAGGAGAGAGGTCTTTCCAGCTGAGTCCAGCCCTATGACCACGACATGCAGGGCCTGGAAATGGGGCAAGAAGGGGGTGCTGGGCGCCATCTCTGTCAAGTGGTTCCCCATGGTGAGCTCCAGCTAAGGTGCTGGTCTTGGGGCTCACAGTAGAGGCACGAAGGTGGCCTTGAAATTGCAGGCTCTGGGGACCACAGCTGGGTTATCTGAACAAGGAAAGGTCATGAGAGAAAACCGGACAAGAGGTGTAACAAACGTGAAATGTGCAACTTCTTGATCCTTTCCTAAACCAGCCTCCTTGTCACCCCCTTCCCTTTATTTTTAAAGAAGCTGCAGGTGTAATAAAGGCATTCCCCTCTCCCTGGAGCCCTCACAAGGGGGATGAGATCTAGAGAAACCCCCAGGTCCCGGGACGCCTGGGG